CCCCCCCCCCTGGATCCTATGTATTTTATATACTTATTGTTATTTTAAGACAACGCAATATATAATACTCTATTATGCAATCATGGCTCACTTCGAAATGTAAAGAAAAAAACAAGTTCTTTTTTCCACAAGCAACTTAAAATTAAATTAACGCATTTTATATTTTTAATTGCAGTGGGAAAAACTCGAAAAGTATCTACAATTAATGGTTGCTTCATAATGCCTGGTTTGCGTTATCCCAGTCCAGTGTAAATCAGCGCTGGATTGCAATTGGAAATATATAAAGAAGCACTGGAATTGTGCGGTTTTACATTTTTCTTATTCCAGTCTAACGCTGATTTAGATCTCTGGACTGGAATAATATAAACCGTAATTAACCATTAAGATATATCAGATAAGAAATACTATGTAATTATAACTGCATAGGTTTACTTGCGGGAAGCGGTTGTAAATAAAACGAGTACTTTATCTCGTATCTTGATAAGAGATTTTAATTAAATGTGTTCTACTTGCTCATTGCATTTGTTTTTAATTAATGTTAAATATTGTTCTACTGTACTATAAGAGAAAAGATATCGTTAGACGAAACTGCAAAATTATTATTACATTTGGTACCTTTGAAAAATCAATCAGGAATATTTTTATTTTAAAACATAGCAAATTCATTAAGTTTAAATCAATGACATCTAGTGATAAAGAATGAAAATTCTTGAAGAACGTTTTCGAACTTGTAAACTATTCGACACTAGATGGCGCTAAAATATAAATCTATTGTAGAAATTTCAAAAACTTTAATAAATCTAGTCACGGACAGATGGCGCTGTTGAAGTTCATAAACGTAAAAATTACCGACAAAATAAATTAGATTTATTCAAAAGGAATTATTTATTTATTTAGAATTTCACCACTGGCTTTTTACATTTTTTGCTATTAATTAAATAAAGCATTGTTATTACTATTACATAGTTTCTACTGATTCGGTTTTTATATAGCATTACGGTGTTTTCGAGTCGAGTTCCCTTTTTTTTCTTCCGTCAGGTCTGAGCCTGTCAGCCGGTTACGCATGGTTTTTTTTCTTTTTCTTCGCCTACCTGAGGCCATATGTTACACCGGCCAAGACTTGATATTCTGAACTTTAGTAAATACAAGTTTTTATCAAACTCCACATCCTGCTTAATTTTAGATTTTTTAGAGATTTTTCATCTGACAAATATTGTCAGGTTAAACTAAAGGGTAGCAGTCGAATATTAACGCAAATAGGTCCTTTCACTTTTTTTTTAAATTACGACTTTCACAGACAAGTTTGATAATAATCGTTTAAAATCTTTGAGAAACTATCGGAGTATAAAACTAACCTCCACATTTCTAGGACATGTTACACTTTTAAGATAATAAAAAAAAATCCGCGGTTAAAATAATACATGGATCTTGTATCTAACAATCTAGACATACAATAAAACTTCATTCAAATTGTGTGAATTGTTTATGGTCGTTCAGTTCATTCACCCCGGTATTATCACTGGCTGACGGGAAACACGCTTTTTTGATCAAGATTAAAAATGTCAGCTGTCATAAAAAAACACGCAAATAAATAAGATTTGAATTTTAAAAAAGGAACGTCAGTTCGGAATTTAAAAACGGCACGTCAAATTCTATACAGAATTGCACAGCTTTCGCATCTGTGTAATTATCACACACAAAGAAGCTAGCTTGTAATTAGCGTACCTACATTGTTTAAGCTAATATCATTAACAACTATTAAATATATACATTACTGTAATGAAATAAAAAATGCATTTCACTTTAAAGTAGCAAAATTTTAGGTACATTGAAATCCAGAATTTGCTACAAGATTTTCCGTGTTGTAAGACTGAACGCAACTGCTTGTACCTACGAAGTAATGAACCAAGAAGTTATTAATGTATTTAATAAAAAATTAAAAAAGATAAAGTTTCGCATCGTATTCAAACTGGCTGGCAAGACGCGATTGAATTCGAATATCATATTTGGAACGCTCGTAACCGGTTGCCCTTGTAATAGTTGGCCGATGTTATCATACGACCAGGTATTTTGACCTATGTCACATCGCCAGACGTTCTTTATTCGAAAGCATTAAAGTCGTACAATGGAGTTTTGCGGTCCATCTTAAGTTGGTCATAAGTCGTCGGCAAGTGCAGCGCGAACGAAAATATACGACGCGCCGAGTTGTTTTGCTGCCTTATCACTGGGGTCAAAGATTAACATCTTTACGAGTACTTCGTGAGGACATTAGGTATAAAACTATTTTGTTTGTAAAGACAGTAAATCTTTTAGTGAATGGAGTGTTACTTCATTTGGTTAAAACAAAGACATGAGAAAATAATGTCTAGGAGATTTTTCCCTTAAAATGGAAATGGAAAGAGACAAATTTAAGGAATTCGATTTTAAGGAATTTCTAATGGTTCTCTTTGTAATATGGCACAGCGGTAGAAAAACTTAAATGTTTAGAATACAACTTTTGTCTTGTATTTAAATAATATTGTAATGTGTTGTAAGTTTTGGCCGGGTTTACACACGCACACAGACACACAGTAACTATGCAATACTTATTACAAAAAGTAGTAAATTAAATTGAAAATCGAATAAAGTATACTTGACGGGTTAGTCTATGTAGTGGGTGTAGAGGGGAGCGCGGGGAGCGCGGGGCGAGGGCGGGCTCTCGGGCCGCCAACTTAAAAATGCCGCCGCAGA